CATCATCATCATCATCATCATCATCATCATCATCATCATCATCATCATCATCATCATCATCATCCTACTGCCGACGTGTTGCAGGCACCAACTACAAATGTCACGGCAACGTCATGGTGCTCACCGTCTCTGGGGCCAGCTCCAGCACTGCGAGACAGGACGGTCTCAGCACAGGCGGCCTACAGTCCTCCTACAAGATGGCGGACAACGACTACAGCGTAAGAACGATGACATGGTCAAAGAATGTTATTGCCCTGTTCCTATATGTTCTTATACTACATGCCACACAGCCGACTACAAGCCCTCAAGAGATCGGGGGCCACTGTCCAGGCCCATAGGTAGCATTGCAGAAGCTCTAATTAAAGCGTCTAGCCCTGTTCCCATCTTCTGTCAGGGCCTTTTCTTTCTCTCTTGCCTTTTGCCTTTGCTTCCAGATTGTTTCTCGGTTGAATGACAGTGTTTGTTAGGCCCAAAGTAGTTCGGGCTTAGTTTCATTGCGTTCTGGAGGATTGTTTTACTCCAGATCGAAAAGTAAAGATCTTGCTAAGCTGTTGCTAAAGCTAAAAACTTTGCTTACTTGTTGCAAAAGTTAATCGTATGAAGTGATTCATGAGATTCTCATTCATCTGTCTTTCACTTGCAGGAGCTGAATAAAAGAAAGACGTGCTATTACCAAGCAGGGAAAAACAACTGTATCCAACCAGCCGTTGTCGCCGCCCTCGCCAGCAGAGAGTCTCGAGGCGGCAAGCTCCTCTACAGGTGACAATGGAAAAAACCCACAAAAACACCCCAAACAAAAAAGCAAAAACAAAAATAAGAACACCTCCCCCAAAACAAAACCCAACAACAACAACAAACAACACCAGGAAACAACAAATACAATAACTCAGAAGGGTTTCGGTCCTTTTTGCCCCCCAAAAAAAGAAAGAAAAAAAGAAAAAAGTTTTAAGTATGATGGCATTCGTAAGGGGAGACTACACAGCACGGAATTTGAATGAATTATCTGGATTTTTTCTAAACAGATCTATCAGCTTTACAAGTTACTCAACCTCAGACTCGGTAGTATTTAATGCTTAGTCCAGTTGTTGTTTTTTTGTCCTGGGGATGTATTTCTTGCGCTTTTCAGCGTGTGCTATTCGGTATAGATCTCTAAATGAGTTACTCCCAGTGTCTGAGCGTGGGTAGTTTGTAGATTTAATTCGTGGATTCGAACAGAGAGCGCAAATTCCTTAGAATGTACTCATTCAGAGGTACGCCTATGAAGGCTTTTCAATAACTGTAGGTGTTTTCATACCACCATCGACAAAATTAAGATTATTTAGGAGGCGGGCTTCGACCTTATTGCCTCTCAGGCCCAGACAAGGCCGAGAAGGCCACAATATCCCAGCAGAAAGACCGAGATACATGTACTTGATAAAAGTTCTCCCCTGTTGGGAATCGAACTAGGGCCTCCTGCATGCGACGGCGAAGCACCGAATCGCTACACCACAGAGCCGGCGCCAATGAATGCCTTGGTTTATAGCTACAATGAAGGCATAATAAAAAAAAAAGAAACGTTCAGGGGTGGAGGCTGGGGTAGGGGTGGGGAGCTGCTGTTTCACGTAAATAGGCACCACTTTTCCTAATTTCAGTTACGAGAAAATAAAGTCTGGTGTTTTTGGTGACCTCCAGATCAGAAAGCTGATGAGAGATCCACATTTTGCAGACCCGATAAAAGGATTAAAAGAGAAGAGCTTGGGAATCATTTGTAATATGTTTGTGATACACTTTTTTAGGAAACAGAAAAGCAGAAAATTACAAGGACATGGCTAAATCTTTGTAAAAGAACTTGCATTTTTTGCGTTGCAACATGAGCATCAAAGTTCATTTTTCGGATAAGTCATAGTGATAAATTTTATCAAAACTTTGATGTCGTCAGTGATGAGCAAGGTGAAATTTTTCACCATGGCATTAACATTATGGAGGAATTGTATTAAGACCGATAGTACATCAAACGTGGTGGCAGATTAACTGATGGAGCATTCAGAGAGGGTTTCCAGACACAATGCACCAAAGACAACCCCGGAAAGAAAGTTTCGGTCATGAACATATTTCCTTCGACTTGACTACATGAATCACTTTTTAATGTTGTATCCATTACCATTGTGAAATTGAGGATTTACATTAATATTTTTAAAAAGGATAGATTTCTCATACTTTTGCTTTTCCTTGCTCCAAACAAGGCTGGCATTTGTTATCACTAGGGCTAATTCAATTGCGAATACCGCCAAAAAGAGTTTCATGCCGTAAAAAATAAAGTTTGACACGATAGTACAAAACTGCTGTCATTTTTTGACCTATAATTACTATAAAACAAGTCCAAATCTTAATGCCACAGAAAAAAAGAAGTTAAATTTTGTTGCCTTGTGTAATGTATCACCATAATAATAATAATAATAACAATAATAACAA